TATTATTGATAGCTGACACGGCTTTTAATTTATGTTTTGTTCTCTTCCAAGTAGAACTGCTTTATCCTCAGGCGATGTTAAATGTAAATTTGGCAATGTTTGTCTGAATTTTATTTAATCTTTTGTTTACGTTGATTAATCTGCAATTTTCGATTAACTGTACAAAGTTGTTTAAGGTATATCGTTTGTAATTTTTATCTATAATTTTTATATATGGAGAATCTATTTGTAATTTTTATCTATAATTTTTATATATAGAGAACCTCCTGCATATAAATAATTATTACAGCAGAAAAAAGGGGCGATTCACCTCACGTCCGTATGAATTTCAATACAAATGAGTCAAACAGCGAAATTGTATATATTGAATAACATAATGACTGAAAATACACGTCGGATGTTATAATCTGGACACCACGGCGATTAATAACGACAGAGAGAAATTTCCATTTTTCGTTATAAATACGGAATTGCAAATTACGCGGCAAAATTGTGATACAACAATTAAAAAAACACGGCCAGGCGTTATACAATTTAGACACCACGAAGAATCAACAACGACAGAGAGATTCGCATTTCTTATTGTAAACGCGAAATTGTAAATTACAAGTTGCTGAATTAACACTGACATTATCACCACCCTTTGCATCACGTTTGGAAGCAAATCGAACGAGCATATTCGCGAGGACACGGTGTAAACAGAGGGTGCGAGCAGAGCGCAACAACCGTTTTCCCACGTTGCCACGAGGTTTGTCGTTAGAAGAGCAACCGGTCGAAGTTTTGCTCGCGCAATGCTCCGCCACCTTCGAACGGGCCAAGCGAAACGAAAGTTATTGGCATTTTCTTTCTTTCTCGTCCGTGTTTCGCGCGGCCGAACGATCTCGATAAGAGCAGGCTTGATGTTGCTTCCACTTCTGCCTGGAGAATTACCGTCGTTCAATAGTCAATAAGCGTCTGCCGCAGCTACTTTACGTCACGCCTCTCTCTCTCTCTCTCTCTCTCCCCTGCCGCCGCAACGAATCTTGAATCCCTACGTATGTTTATATACATAAATAGCAAAGGGTGGAATGGATGTAAACGATATTGATTTTACTGACTATCTAATAGGGATATTTTAAACATTTCCAAGTATTGATTCTGTGCAAACGAAATGTGGTACAGTAAAAGTGGTAAGAATACATAAAATATAGACGCAAGGTGAACAAAAGTTAATTATCAGTATAGTTATACGAAAGTTAATTAAGTATAATTATGATAAAGGGACAAGAAGTAAATTGTTTTGACATAACATGTTTTTATAATACAATTGCAAAACTTTCTTTCAATTTGTTCTAATCAATATTTATTACACGTTTATAATATTATATACGTGTAATATACGAACACTTTTATGTAAATCATATAAAAAAATATCTGTTTCACGCTTCTACTTTCTAGAAGATTAAATCTCGATATCTTCTTCGGCGGCCAGTAGGTAAAACCACTGCCTTCACAGCTACTGGCTTGGCTTCGTTTTCGATTTTTTACACAGTAAAATCTCTACCCTTCCCTAGATATTCTACTCTTCAAAATCGCACTGAGGACTATAGGAATCGGAATACCGTTCGGTGAGAGAGGTACATCCATCACCCGTGATTTCGTATTCTCAGTTCTGCAAACGATGTACAAATCCGTGTCGGACAATTCATCCGATATATCCGTCAATAAAATACGAATCTGGTAATTCAGTCCCAATCCTAAAACCGTAGCTTCCATGGTGAGCGGATGTGGTCCCGCGCTTTGACTACTTCTTTGGCCAATCTCAGTCGAAGAAGACTTTGTTGAAAAGTAGAATGGATTTCCTTCGCTTCCGATTTTTCTCGCATTGCTCAACAAACAGTCGTGTTTCCTTTGGTACTAAAAATTTGGAGCAATCATTTGAGGGTAAATTAGATATCGCATTGTGAATAATGAAGTCTGCGGTCCGTTTTAGAATTTTTACACAGAGTCCGCCCTCCTATGGTGACCATTGCCATCGTACGTTCTTCTTGACCCATTTTACCGTACTGTTTTGAGAAGAAAAAAATACAATATTTTTATATTATTGGGATTTAGTTTAGAAAAATAACATTTGTAATAATATTTCTAATTCACCTTTATCGGAGAAACTCGGTTCTATAATTTTTAACGTGTCCACGTGATGTTTTCCATCGTATGAGCGAATACCATAACCAGCGTACCATAACTATACTCACAGCGAGCAAAGAAAGTCCAATTTGCGGAACTGGTAAACTTATCGAATCCAAAATTGCACCAGGAACATGGATATGCCATATTTTAATTCCCTATATGATTCATATATTATTATTTATATTATAGTTTGTCTAAAAATATTATGCGTACCTTACTGAAAAAGCTGATTAAAGTACCATGATAGTAACCGCGATGCCTTCATTATTCAGGAGCGATACAGCTACAACAGCAGGTGATGGTAATTTTTCCCAAAGTTTCACAGGACTTCCTCCTTTTATCACTCTTATTTTACCATCTCTTCCAACAATTAATATTCTTCCATCACCGGTCCATAAATCTGTACACGCAAAAAGCGACTGGCGGCCATTCTAATGGATGTTTATGCATAATACAGAAAACGTTCTAAAACAGATATATCGCAAGAAGCATTTAATTTTATAATTTTTAATTATTCATATAGAGAATTATGTCATCAGGGAAAGAAGTTTTACCGTGGATCTAAAATAAGTAGTTCTTCGTATTCCGTGCCCAGCACGAGACAACTACTCGCTGGATCGTTCCACGAGTCCCTTCGAATCCCACGGAAATCGCAGTTAAAGCGTTGCTTTTAACCAGTGGGATTCTTTTACATTGTTCCGCAAAGCTAGCTCTCAAATTCGGATCCGTGGATAGAAATTTCAATGTTCGCGGCGAGATAAGTTCCTTTAACAATGAATCTAGTTCATCAGCTAGTGTTAATATATATTCAATTCTTCGTCCAATCCAGCTTTGTGCCAAATCTATTAGCAAATTTATTCTTATAACTCAAAATGAAAGAATATGTTTAACTTACAGTTAGTGTTGTAACTGAGAATTTTTTATTTACCTCTCGTTCCGTTGGATGTACGTCAATGTGCGGCGAACAGTATTTAAAATACGGTCTCATATTTTTAAAAATGTAGACGCTAGAACCAACACCCACCGCCGATTCCATTCTCTGTATAAAAGCCAACCACTCCACAGGGTGGATCTACCATGTTGTGTTCTGTTATCTGTTCGCCACCTTTGTAAACTCGTATCTAAAAATAAGATAACAATTAGCCAGTGATAAGCGGATAAAAATTAGAATAGAAGAAATTCTATTTCATTACTTTGGACGAATTGACATTGAGTGTGCCTAAGTCGGCACAGAATAATCTAGCATCTCCATCAAGCGTATCAAGTGCATTTGGTAAAGTGTATAATCGGACTGCTGGTTCTCAAAGCGTTAATCCCACTGGTTAAAAGCTGGTTCCAAGACCGCCAATGTTATAATCGGCTCTGAAAATTATATAAAGGAATAAAAAAACGAATTATCTACATTAAAAAAGAAATATCTTCCTCAATTTGCATATTCTGGTTGCATTACAGGTACACTTACAATTAAAAAGTATTTTTTCTTACCGTAAACCGTGCATGTTCCAAGGATTTTTAATATTTTAGACAAACTGTTATTTTTAATTAAAAGGCATCGTTAGTGTTTCTGCCTAAACGTTTGCCATATGGATTCTATGCACTTTACTATAGTGCAGCGTAATAGATCAATGTCATATTGTCGTTAATATGTTGAATTTTTTAAAAGAAGAAGAAGAAAGTGCCGCATAAGCACTATGTCAGTTGTAATTTTCGAGTGAATAGAGATCATATCGAAAAATCTGTTTAGAACAACTCGCAGAACGACATAACGATATTAGCGGCTCGTGCTTTGTTGTGAACAATTGTATCCATAGAAATATCCACGCGTTCGGAATATCGATGACTAGATTTAATATAAAAAGAAACGCTGTTACGTTAAATAATTTATCTATCATTGCGTTAACTTGTCTATTGATTTATCATCGATGAAAATAAATCGATTTATTAAGCATGAATAAAAAATACATTTTTTATGAGCATAAACTACTTTTTTTATTATCTTATTTCTTTTTTTATTCTTATTTTCTGTTTCAATGAACGATCGCGAAATTCAATTTTCTTGATTCGTGTATTTTGGCACGAAGCGGAGCAATATTTGTAATAATATACTATTTAAATTATTGTTATTCTCAGTTATTTCCTTCAAGTTCTATTTGACCTGTTTATAAATAAACAGGTCAAATATTACAGTTGCGAAATATCTGTCAGTTTCAAAATAAAGCACAAACGACCTCTAAATGGAGTATATAATTTCATTTGAAATTTCATGTGAAATTTTAAATATTGATTAATCATGAAAGAATTCTCTTAAGAATTAAAGATAATGGCATCTTCACTATCAGTGAACAAAAAGCATCTACAAAGATCTACGCCAATAGCATACGCGAAAGATAATTTAAAAGTACCACCTCGAAAATTATGGCAGATGAAGAATGAAAAACCGGAATTTGAAAATGACAATTGGAACACGTATAGAAATTCGGATAAAGATGAGAAATGAGATACGATCGAATATCCGCAATTTGTAGAGATTACTAATCCATCAGATCTAGGAGATTCGTTTTTCAGCAAGTACGATTATAAGGAAGAAGTCTGATGTTAATTTTTTCTCGATGATTATTTTCAGATAAATCCACTGCAATTGTGAGCGCGCCAAACTCGAATTTTGCAAACACAGAATATCCAAATATAATTACATATGTCAATACATTGATTGCGCAAGAATTACAACAGTGAATTTCTCTAAATCAGTCTCGAGCTACTTTCTTCTCATCTAATAATAAAAAATTTAGTTTAATCCCTTTATAGCTCTTTCAGTAATATCTCTTTGTGCAATAAAAAATATGATAAGAAAACATGTATAAACAATTTACAGAAACAGAAGAATATGTAGTTCGTAGTAATAATATTAAAATGGTATGTCAATTTAAATAACTGACATTGTCAGTATTTTAATTACGATTGATTTGTGAAAAAATTGAACATTTCAGGAACCTCAAATTAACACTAAGTTTGTAATAAAGTGAAAAAGCCGCAGAAAACCGAAGTATATCCATTCACTTTCGATTTACGGGACCAACAAGAACAAAAGCAAAAGCAAGAACATCTTAAAAAAGTATGAAAATCATGTCTTTTAATTTTACAAATTGTTATTAAAGTAGACATTGTATTTCTTTTCCATTATTCTTAGTTACTAGAAGAAGTGAGAATATTTCAGGCAAATCCAGTGCCTCACTTTATAAAATCTCGAACTAAAACTATTAATAATCGTCGTAATAACAATGAGAAAAAAAACGAAGAAAAAAAACTAATAAATGATAAAAATAAGCCAACGAGTAATAACTTAAATCAAAAAGTACAAAAATCTGATAATTGCGTCAAGCAAAGTAAAAAGAATATCGAAGTAAGTGTGTACTCTTATATAAACTTTGTCCAAGATAAACTGCGTACATATTTTAATCAATACATATCTAATATTATCGAATAATAAATATCTTAGAAAACCAGCTGTGGAAAAAAACCACCGTTTGTACCATGTTTGACGAAAAATAAGTTGCAATTGCCAAAAACCCTACCTTTGCATACAATGATTCGAGTGCAGGAAAGAAAACAGTTTGATGACACTGTGAAAGAAAAAGAAAAACTGAGAGAAGAAAAAAACAAATAGTAAAAGTGATTTGTAATTTTCATTTTAATAATATTCAATTTTTGAGATTATAATACATATCATGTAATTGCTGGTAATAGGAAATTGCTGCTAAAAAAAGCAAGAAGAGGAAAAAATTGTTCTGTTAAGAAAAAAACTGTTCATAAAGTCCAACCGATTCCTAAATATAAATTGAGTTTACCAAAAGTTAAGAAACGACCAACTTAACTGACCCTGTAATAGTAATGAAACGGCGCCGCTGTACATAAATATTTAAAATTAAAACTTAGAAACAGTAGTATTAGTAACTCTATATTCAATATTTTTCTTTTCACTTCCTGTTCTGCAGATAGATACATTTATACAAGTGTAAATTAATAATACAATTAGTAATACATTAATATATTCATGTGCATTTTATCAATTTATAAATTTTATTAATAAAGACAATTCCATTGAACGTATATCTCCAATTGTGGGAAGTTTTTATAAAACAATTATTCGAGATTTATATGCTTACCACAGCTTATGCTAGATAAATATTAACAATGGTGCGTATATTTAACATATGTACATTTTGCCGATAATTACTCTCTGTCAGAATTAGTTTAAATTGCCGAACGTAAGCTATTTTATCGAGTTTCCTTACACGTAGAGGAATGGTGCCTAATACGAGTTCTCAAAATGGAGGAAGATGTCACGAGATGAGAAGTGCACTTTGTCCACAAATACTGTAATTAATCATTTGTTTTCATAGTCAAAAATCAGATAGCAATTAAAAACTGAAAGTCTGAGTTCGAGCCCCGAAAAAATCTACGTGTTGCAGTGGATTTAATATCGTTATCCCGACTCTGGCAGTTGATTCGTTGCCAAAGGAATTGAAAAACATATTCATACGGGTGAGTTGGAGCAATGAATCGAGCTTTCCTTCCGCGTCGTTGACTCGCACCAATTCGGGGATATTTTTCTACGGGGGCGAGCCCGAGGGTTACGACGTCTATTTAATATTTTACGATCTCAGAGGTGTCCCCATATACAAAGCGCACGAAACGAAAGCTTTACGATCGTTCCCGTTACATACACGCTGAACCTAACCTACAACTGTACTTTTTCAAGCACATGTTTGCTACGTTCTGCGAAACATCCAAACCAGTCACGTATATGTGTATATATATATATATATATTTTTACGTATCATTTTTCGTTCTTGTTACGCCATCCAGTAATGCGTTTTACCAGCACTGCACGTTTTATTAGCCGCGCGATTCGCACATTTGTTGCAATATTTATCAAAACTGTTCTAACATGAAACTATCAACGGTTACGATTGCGGATGATTACTGATGTTTCGAGTAATCACGTCCGTTACCGTAATTGTGAATTTTTCACGCTTGTGGTTTGACACACAATCGAAAGATGGCGCGATCTCGCAGGTTATATTACTTCTTTAAATAAATATATTGCGAAATTTAATAAGAAACTATTTATTAATATTATAACAAGATTTTTACAATGACCGTTTGCTTTGATTGATTATTAACAACTGAGAATACAAAATATTTTCTGCCATCTTATTTTCTTCTTTCTTCATTTTAAGTCAGCCTCGTCGCTATTAAACTCGCTTTTTAAAATACGCGCGCCACCACATTTAAACAAAAGAGTGGAAGTGTCGCGCGAGTCGTTAGTGCGAAGTGAATCGTGATTGGTAAATGTCACTCGTATTAGTGGCTGTACTGTTCGTTCGGTCGTTTGACTTGTCTGTTCAAAAGTGACAATTTAACTTAACCATTTTAGTGCTACGGACTATTTAGAAAATCGTGTATATATTGTTTTGTGTCCTTTTATGTATGAAAAACGCAGAAAACTTTCAAGGATCGTTTATTTCTCAACTGTTTTAGTTCCATACGGCGTATATCAATAATATCTTATTTGTTTGCGTTTCAATGATATAGCTTTGTATTGTCATATTAATTATATTCAAATATTATTTGGATAAGTGCAGTATTATTATTCACTTTATTCGTTATTTCATTACTGTTCACTTATATATTTTCGTATATTTAACAGGCGAATGAAAATTATATTTAATCATCCGGTATGATATATAAGCTTTGCTTGTTCACTGAATATTTATACATTTACTGGACAAATGAGAATTGTATTTAGCTATATTTCGGTGTGATATATAAGTGCCAAATTTAAAACGATTTAGAACTACGTTACCGACGACACATAAATATTATCGACAGCGACGGTGAATTTAGTGGCAAATCATCATCAGACGAGGCTGCAAAAAGGTTAGAAAAATAAAATGCAACGTACATCTACGTTTAACGCCAAGCACAATAATGGTTTGTTGAATTCCATACTTCACCCTTTATACACACCAAGTGCAGATGTTGTAAGCCATTCTTACTTCAAAGTTACAAAACGTACTTGTTATAATGGAATCGTTAAAACTGTTGAATTCATTGTTAATCCATAATTCACAGTTTGATAGACTTGTTGATTTTACGTTACATAAATTTTCTTATATAGGGTGGCCACTCAAAAAACTGAAAGGTCATAACTCGTTTCAATCTTTCTTTGTAGGTTATGCAAAAAATTACTGAAAAAGATCCATCGACTATATTCCCAAATAAAATAATAAAAAATTAAAAAAAAAAAAATAAAAACACATGTGTTTGCAAGAGTTATTTTTGTTTTGTATCATTCAGTCTTTCAGCGACCATCCTATAGTTACGAAGCAAATTTGATCCTAAATTGCGCTAGCAATGAATGTTCGCCAAAATCCGAGTTTCGTTGGCTCCGGTGAACGCGGGGGGAGAGGCTGTCCGCGAGAAAAAATGGCCGACGAGCGGTTAAACTGCAGAGCGGCGTGTTTTACGATCGCGCGATGCGTTCGTGTAACAACGGGGGCTACAATTGCCAGGGAGAAGCGCTACAATCAGCAGGGGCATTGACTCGTCGCGGCAAAGTTTCGTTCAACAGGCAGCGGGAGCGTGTTTCTGCACGGGTCGACACGCGCCTGCACGCCTGTTCGCGTTACGTTCTCCACTCGGTTGAACGCGCGCGCGTCGCCGCTGACACTCGACGGCCATTTGCTACCGCGTGTATTCCACTGTAATGTCGCGTACCCCGGCAGCTAATTATTGTCCTCCAGAGTCATTATTCACGCCGGCTGCGCGCTAGTTTGAAGGCGCGGCAATTCCAAGATACACCGTACAGCGCGAACCGTGCAGGGAAAAATGTAACACGCGTAAGGCTCACGCGACACGGTTGGTCGTTCGGTGAACAATGCAGCCGTCAGCTGGCCGCACAAGTGCAATCGCCGCGGTAGATGGCTACAGTGACGCGGGTCGAGAGACATTTACGCAAGAAACTCGCGAAATTAACGTGCCAGTTTGTCACTCTCGAGGGAAACAACTGTCCCTCGCGTCGCGGCACGTCCGCCTCTTTCTCGTCTCAGCCATTAGAATTTCTCTCCCTTTGCCCGCTCTTCTCGTGTTTCCCCTGCTCTTTTCCTAGTTTCCATCGACGGACGCGGATCTACTTTGCCGCTGTTTCGCCGACACGTGGGAAACACTCTGTATCTATCTCGTACACAGAAACGAAGTTGACGCCATTCGAAAAGCTTCCATTTTCTTTCAAGCACGACACGTCGCTCCTCTTTCTCGTGCTTGACCGATCCTCAATTAACCACTATCCGACAGCTAGTTTTTTTTTTTTTCCTTCCTTCAAGAAGATGTCCAGTTTTTACGTTTGTTACTAGCCGGAGGAGAAAAAGGTCGAGACAGAGGGGAAGACTTGTGAAAAACTTGGGACAATTGTGAAACTGACTCGGATCCGGGCTTCGTTGGTTTCATTCCGGGGTCAACTTAAATTTGAGAGTTCTTTGATAACACCGCGAAGTAGCCGGTTCTTTGTTCGCCCGTCTTCTCTCGGAGAGAAATCCTTCGAAAGAGTAGAACGAAGAGCGGAGGCTGGGGGAAGAGGGAGAAAATAGAACTGGGAGAAGAAGACCGCGTCGCGCCGCTGTCCGTTACCAATTGTATTTCGTCCGTCTCTGCTGTTTCGCGTTCGATTCATATCCCGGGATGGTGTTCGACGAGGCGTGACATCGTCCCGAGGAAAAAGTTAGATGGGAAGTCTCGAAAGTTGGAAAACCATGCGAGGAGAGATGTCGCGAGTTTGGCTTCTGGCTGTTCCAAAGTGTATTTAATTTTACAGCAATTTACAGGATTGTGAACTAGTCTTGTCCAACCGAGAGCAGAGATTACTTTTCCAACTCTGATCAATGTAGAAATTCTGTACGGTCGGAATTCTTAACGATAATTCTTCATCTAACGATTTTGATACGCGGCCGGCCGCGTGCTGTTGAAACTCCTCGTTAAAAAACATTGATTTTATCAATTTACGCGACAACGAAAACGAAATTATCTTCGAATAATTTCCGAGATATTTAACAAAATACTACCCTAACTTTGAGGATAGTTTTCAACATCGGCCATTGCTGATAAAAAAAAAATTTCTTTGAAAACTATGTTCGTGCCAAATGTCATGAAAATCGGCGATTCTAGGTTCGGTATGTTCCCTTGTAAGTGTAACAGGCTCGCGAGTCAGCAATCATCTTGACCTACGCGGTGCTTTCGAGTTATATGATCTTGTAAACGTTAAGGAGAATGAGTCGAAAGATGTCTAACATACAGGCTGAACCAAAGCTAACTGGCCGCCCCCCACTCTCCTGATTG